GAGCAGAACGAGTCCGATTTGCAACGCGTTGTACCCGTACTTTTCGGCCAGCGTTCGTGAGCATGTATAGGAGAGGCTATATCCCAGTCCATAAATGAGCCCTGTGGGCGTCCCATCAATGATCCCCTGGAGTCAGAGGCCGGATCTGCACTACACACCAGAAGCGACATGGGTGGTGAGATTGTTCATGCGTCTCAGCACCAGCAGTATCGGCTTGGCGGGATTGACGTCCGCCAGGGAGAGCTTCACATCGTCCATTGGGGGCGTGGGTGGGTAAGAGGTGGCGCATGTCACGTTCTGATGATTCTCGACGTCCCTATCCCGCGCGGGCACCGCAACGATGTCCGTTACCTCGCCCTTCGCGCTCGGTGCCCCACTCCCAATCGCAGACGGGGGTGGGGCAGGGGTAACGGGGGAGACCGCGGAGACATGGGAGAGACTCGAGGCGACCACGGTGGGGGAGAGGGCCCGACGGCGGCGGAGCGCGGCCTGGCAGGTAAGGCTGCGCTCGCAGCGGAAGGTGTCCCTGAGGGGGATGAAGGAGAGGAAGCATACCCCAGTGAAGGCCGCGAGGAACCAGAACGTCGCGCGCCAGGAGAAGGCCGCGGTGAGCGCGCCGCCGAGAATGGGGCCGAGGGCCGGGCCGAGGAGCGGTGCGCTGTAGTAGATGCCCATCATCGTCCCGCGCTGGACGGGCTCGTAGATGTCGGCGAGCGTCGCGGCGCCGAGCGAGGTGACTGCGGCCGAGCTGCTCGAGATGAGATGGGGCTAGCGGGAGAGGGTGCCAGGAGAGTGACGTACCCGACGGCTTGGATGCATCGCATGCTGATGAGGACACCGATGGTTTTGGCGTTGGCGGCGACGATACAGCCAACCAAGGCAAGCAGGGTCGAAAGAAGATAGATTTTCTAGATGCGGGGGTGAACGTGTGCGGTATGCGAACAGTAGCGACAGGCACGGTGTCACCTACCTTACGGCCCCAGAACTCACTGAGGGTACTCCATAGCAGCGGGACGCCGCCAAGGAGAACGATGAAGAGCGAAAGGCTGAGTGAGATCTCGCCACTGGACGCATGAAGCTGGTCCTCTATCTGGGAAATGGAGGCTAGGCGAAGTGAGCGTCGAGTTCCTTATCGCAGGCGGACTTGCTCACGATTGTAGATACTGGTACCGAGACCATTGATCATGGTCGCGGCGGAGACGGTCGCAAGAACGACGAGCTAGCAACAGCAGAGAGAGGTCAGGGGAAAGTGTTCGTTCCCGACAGGCAGGAGTCATATGGTGACGACTCAAGTACTCACCTTCCGTGTTTTCGACCACGCGCGAGGATCGTCGATCACTGTTGCATGCTCGATATCCTGGATCCCCACCATCGGTACAACGGCGACGGCGACGGCAATTTTTTCGTGTTGGCCGGACATGCGAGGAAGAGTCGTGGGGGAATGGTGAACAGGGACTAGCGAAGGCGGCAGTCTATCAGCAGGCGACTTGGAGAGTGGGCGTGTGATTGGTTTGTCGCATGGGAACCCTCGAAAATTATTCAGCGAGGACTGAATAATCACGTCACGCAGGCAATCGGCGCAGGAAGTCCCAAAATGCCGCCCATCGTGAATGCCAATCCCCCATTGAAGCGTACGGCCGATAGTACTCACTGCACCAACCTATGTTTTAAGTTGAACCACGGCTCGCAAGCAAGAAACCATGGGATCACATACGGATTTCGACCATTCGGTATCCTTCCCAGTAAAGGTGACAACGATGTGGCGCTACAAGCGAGTGCTCATTTGTCATCTTGACTCGGGACTCGTGACCTGTGAGGGAAGGCAAGGTCTTCACGAGGCGGATTAGCGAGCAAGCATTTATATTCAGAGGTCATGGCCCGGTAAGGGTAGGTTGTATATTGACGACCACTTCGCTTACGCGACGAGACTCTCTCGTCCAGTACGGGGGCCGGTTCCACATCCACGCATCCCTCTGCTCAGTGCTGAGCCAGTCCAACAAATTAGTCCAGAGTCAAGTCAATCCAGCATCATCGTGCAGCTCACCAAAGAAACACTTACCTCACGACAAGATTGCTACAAGTATATAACTGGCTCTCGTATGGAGGACCCAGCGTGCATATGAGGAAGAGGTAGAAATGTGTTTCGAGCAGAGTGCGCAGTCGAACTCCGCAGCTGGCTCTATGTGTACCACGTGCTCGTATTTTGGCGCCCGTGGCAGGAGCCGCAAATCATGGCTCAATTCTCAGTGCTCACCCAACGCCCTTCTGATGTCGACCACAACCATGTGGGGAAAAAGCCTTTCCGGGCAGTGGTCCCATGATTCCGGATGTCATTAGTCGCCTCGTTCTCAACAGCCCGTTGGGCTAGTACGCGTAAGTACTTCTGAATCAATTCGAAGCGGTTAGAAGCGGAGTCAGTATGAGCCGTTACGTAATCCTTTGTGAGCGAGCGGACTTCAAAACATTTGTTCAACGAGGTCCCGGTGCCGGCGTGTTCCTGCTTCGCCTCTCATATTCCCCGCCGCCCGTAACGACAGCAGCCATGGTGCCCAGCATTCGTCACCTGCTTGGTTGGAAGACCCAGAAAATGGATCGGCGAGTCGACCATGTACGTAGTTCCATCACTAAGCAGCACAGAATGAGCTCACTTACAACAATTGAGCCCTCGCATTACTAGTTGACCGGACATGTCGTCCGAGATGCAACCCCGTCCCGTGATGAAACCCCGTCCGATGCGACGGGGCGTGCTCTGCAGATACACGAAATAGTGGCCTGCATCATGGAGCATCTCTATACGCCCGTGGGGCACCAAGGGACGTATGCCAAACTGGCTCTCGTCTCCCGCTCATTCGCAGAGCCAGCCTCGCAAATGCTCTGGAGAGAGCTGAGGCCGAATTTAGATCCATTATGGCTCATTTTCTTGAACACTCAAGCTCGACGGAACAGATGGTCACTCTCGAAACGCATCTCTCAAAAACACAATTCGACTGGGATGAAACACCTGGCGCGCAAAGTAAGTGATTCGACATCCTATCGTTCAACCACTCACGCCTCGTCCGTAGGTTCTCTCTTCGAGATTGTACGATGACGAATGTTTGCGCCGACGGTTTTATCACTGCGCGACTCGCGTTCGACGACTATGCTTTCCCGAGCCCGATATGTTGCCACCCGAAGATTTGACTCTTCTTGCCGTTCTGTTCGCCAGAAGTTCCACAAGCGAGCCCTTCCCTGCACTTCAAGAACTGTACATGCCTGTGGTGAAGCTGTCCCCGTCCTTGCTTTTCCCTCGTCACCTTCGCCGGCTGGAACTTGTCGCCCGTGACCACAAATTCTATGGGGAAGTCGCAGAAATTATCGACTGCTTTCGGCATCACGTCCCCGATATTCCTCACTTCAAGTTATTAATACCACCATTATTCATACCGCCACCCAGCCAGGTACCTAGCGAAGTATTGCAGTCAATATTCGAGTTTAGGGCGCTGCACTCGCTCGACCTTTGGGCACTTGACATCCCTTGGGGAATTCTCCTCCGACACATGGCCGATGCTAGCCCCTCTCTCCACGACCTCCTTCTGCTATCGGTTTCCGTTCGTGATCAGACGGAGAAGCCAGAAGCGGTTTCTGTAGCGCATCTTCCTCGCCTGCAGAAGCTCGTCTGTGGGGGGCAGTGGCCAGCAGTAGCCTCGTTGATAAGCCACCTCCACGCCCCCATCCTCTCCGATGTCAGGCTCCCAACTCCCGATCCCGAAGCGCCCGGGGACACACTCCCAGACTTCCACGCCAATCTACGAGCACTGAAAGCCTCCAGCTCCACCCTCCGGACCCTGCATCTGGCGCTCCCCTCCGAATGGCCGCCGCTCGGCCCTGGCCGCCGTCCGCTCGCGGACATCCTGCAGCCCGTCTTCTTCCTCCCGCTCCTCGAAGAGTTCAAGCTCCTCTATCCCGAGACGAGCTTCTCCCCCACCGACGACGACTTTGCCGCGCTCGCCCGCGCGTGGCCCGCTCTGCGCCGACTCCACATCGCCCCGCCATACTTCAAAGCGCCCGTCGCCGCCGGGGACGCGCCCTTCACGTCGCTCCTGCACCTCGCGCGGCACTGCCCGCACCTCGAGACGGTCCTGCTCTTCGACGCCCTCGCCAACTTCCACGGGGCGGCGCTGTGCACGGACCTGCCCCCGCCGGCGGTGCGCATGCGCTCGCCCCGTCTCCGGGGCGCGGGCGAGGACCTGGCGGTGCGCCCGGAGGCTCCCGCGATCGCGACGCTCCTGGAGAGGGTGTTCCCGAACCTGCAGCTCTCGGAGTCATACTTTTGGGTACAAAATCCGGAGGAGTGTCAGAGTTCTACGACGTGGACGGCGGTCATACAGGTGATATCGGAGCGTCGAGACGAGGACGTGTTCAGGAACCTATACGATGCTGAGTTGGACAATGACTCGTTTCTCTCCTATTGGATCTTTTAGCCATCTCCACCTATGGTCAACTTTTCCTCCTCTCATGGCCGTCGTGCCGGTATCTACGTACGCATCTAGAGAGTCCGAGTACCAGCTTCCGGAGAGGGGATTTGTTTTCGATTATCGTGGAGAGGCCGGAGCTGGCACAGTCCAACCGCCGCATCAACCGCCCAGCTACAAGTACTCGCGACCGGCATGTGTAATGCACGAGTACCCCCACAACTACAACAAATTCCGGTGGTCCACCCAAGTCCATGTATACGTGTCACATATTTCGCGTGGCATCTCTCAGCCCTTTCCCCGCAGCTCTCGTCTCATGCCAGCGGTTGTACACTACTTACTACTCCCCAAATCATCAAGCGTTCCAACCCCAAACATACTGCGCTCCTCGCGCGGCACAGAATGTTTCGGAGACCACTCCCTCAACACCGCGAGCCCCGCCGCACCCACCTCCCCCGTCGACGACCGCGGCACCAGGACCTGCAGGACCTGCAGTGTCTGATGGCCTTCGGGACTGAGCCTACCCCATCGCGCTCGTTTGTCAGTAACTCAGACAGAGACAGCCCAGGGAACACCCGTGACTACGCCTGAGGGAAAAGGCTTGCCGAACTCGAGGCGCAGGGTGTGGTGGGCCGGCCACGCAGGGACGATCGTGGCGAGTTGTTGCAGGAAGGTATGTTCAGGTATGAATGTACGGATGATGATTATAGCTTCGAACGGTACCCAGACAGACGCTGGCCTCGCTGGAGTAATGTGCTTCTTCAAGTTCTGCGTCAACTGGACGCGGAATGAATGTTTTTAGAAAAAAAAGCACCAACATCGTAAGCGTCAGCGGCATCACCACGGTTCAGCTGTTCCGCCTGCGCTCTCTCCCACAAGTTCTCGTAGACGTTTCCATCAAAGGCACCGAGCGCGCTGGCACGATTAAGATCAGAGCCACATCAATCAAGAAAGCGAAAGAACGGTAGCGCACCTATCCAGTTCCCAGTCCGCAAATCCAAATCCATCCGACAGTCCGATCGTCCCCGGAAGCAGCTCCTCGCACGTCCTCTTGATCCCGACGCGCAACCCGCGCGTCACGTCCGCCCCGGGCTTCCCTGCCCAGAATACGCCAAACGACAGCATGTCCACCAAACCCGCTTCCACCGTCGTGAGCAGGTGCGGCTGGAAGAGCTTGCGTAGCACACCCGTGTTCGGTCCATCCAGAGCCTGACTGAGCTCGTTGACGCGCGCAGCGACGAACGGGTCGGAGACGGCGCGTGCCACAGGAGCGTCCATGCTTGCATCGGGACCGGCGGCCCATGCTGCTCGTTCTTGAACCAGGAGATACGCCGTCGTTGGGATGAGAGAGAGAGAAGTCGAGGAGACAGCCTTGTTGACGACCACAGCGTCGGAAGCTTTGAGCGCAGCGCGGACGACCTACTGATCGAGGACGAAGTCACCGCCTTCGTGCCTGTAGCCGAAATCAGCAACTAGGACACGGATTCAGGAGCGCGTACATACGTGGCAGCGGGAACGTAGTCCGTATACAAACGACCCACTCCAACGAAGTCACTGAAGCCATGTCCGCCCATCGACGGCCGTGCCGTCTCCAGGCATTGAACCGCTGTTGTGGACACAAGCACCTTGAGACTACTCAGCGTCGCGTGCATCTCCGCCAGCAACGACGTGTTTCCTAATGAAAGTTGGGCGAGCAGTTGCGTGAATGCGTTCGCCTAGAAACTCTTCAGACAAGGCCGCAGGATAAAGACGAGGGGATACTAACGAGGCTCTTTCCGAGGCGAATGTAGACGGACGGGTAGGTGATGACTTGCCGTTCCAACCCATCGGCTCCCTGTCGTCGTACGGTTGCGTATCGCAGCGCGATTGTGATACCCTTCGCGATTGTCCAGCCTGTTGACGCGACCATCCTGTGCCGATTCGGTCACTATGCGCGTCTGTTTATTGCAGCGACCTACCCGGAGCGAATGTAAAGCATCTGTGCAACAATTAGCCATAGCTCGCGAGACATGACGAAGCACTCACTCCACCGTAGCTGAGCTTCGCATGTGGAGGCGTGACGTATTTGCCGTCGGGCGTCACAGACGCGAACGCAGAGAGCATCTGCTTGCGGGGAATCCTGACATGGTCGAACCGCGCATAACCGTTGTCGACCTCACAATGCCTTCGGACCTGACAACGCGCCTATTGAGGGCCAATGCACGAAGTTGAGAAGGGAACATACCAATGTCCCCAACGATGATCCCAGGGAGCACCGCGTGATCGTCCAACAACCGCAATTGGACGAGAAACAAATGTGGCCCCGCGTCGAATCCGGACGGCAAAATAAGACGTGCTTGAACAACGTCATGTGCTGCTGTTCTTCCCAGTGCGTCGCTCGTGAGTGTCGGCTAACGGATGTCAAACTTGTGTGAGTCCTGAAGACGAGCTGCAATGGTCTCCAGGAAAGCTACGCTGGCACCGTGGCCAAGTCTTGTCTGGGGATGTGCTCACATGAGCCTCACATGCAAGAACGTTCAGACGACAGGACGTACCACAAATTCCCGGTCTCGTGGCCACGTCCTTCAACTGAGCTTTCAGCTCTTCCAAGCTTTAGGGCCTGGTCGGCTGCCCGTGGGATGCGCTGTGGGATGGGCTCCCGCGCCCACCGAGACGGGCGCGTACCCCTCCCGAGCCCACAGCCCATCGTGCTGCGGGATCATTTTGGCGGGAACCCAGCCCATCCCACGGACAGCCGACCAGGCCCTTAGGGGTTCGGCATAGACTCAAATTCTATGGGGCGTTCGTTGAGGCAGAATGCGCGAGGATTGCGACATAAGACGTACCAGTGCCATGTAGCTGCAAAGGCAGCATTTGATCGAGCATCATTGCCAGAGCTCGTCCGTATGAGTGCGCATGAGGAACGACCTGCGGAGGAGTGCACTCAGCATGTGCGAATCGAATACTAACAGTTGGACCTACCTGCAGGATTTGTCGAAGACGGGTGCGCGGGAGAACTCCCTCCCGCTACGACGAGGCGGCGGTCTGTAGCGTCGCAAGGAGCGTAGGATCTATGGGTGTGGGGAAGAGCGACATTGATGAGAGAAAGAGAGATGAAGAAAGCTGCGAGATGCAGGCAAGGAGGCGCCGGCATGGCACCCGTGGGCCGAGCGAAAGGCGCGACTTTGGCGGCGGAGCGGGAGTTCGAGCCCTCAAAAATGTCCCCTTCGGGGTGACATACGAAAAAATTGGAACGATACAGAGAAGATTAGCATGGCCCCTGCACAAGGATGACACGCTTTCCCGGAGTGGTAGACCTACGGGTCTCAATATTTATGCTCTCCTGGCTTTTGCTTTCGAATTTGTTCCCGCACTAGCCGCCAGGTTCAATCCCCGCCTTCTCCTTGGACTTCTTCCTACTCTTTCCCCTTCTCTCCGACGGAGTCGAGCTCTCAGTGTGGCTCTCAACCAAATTCTTGGTAACACTTACGCTGGCGATGTCAAAGTTAACGGGCTGGTACAATAGCGCGAACGACACAAGAAAGCCTTTGTCAAGACGAGACCGACATCGCGGACACCGCGAGGCCGTCCACCTTCCCTCCCTGCCTAAGCCCCTCCATCTTCTCCCACACATCTCCACCGACACAGCGCGTGTCTCTGATCCACGACTGCCGCAGGTCCAGTTGGGGGAACAGCCCGTCCACAAACCGCGCGATCTGCAGCGCGTTCGGCCGCTCCTCGTCCCGCGCCCCCCGGTCATCCGCCCACACCTGCAGGACCACGAGCGCGCTTGCGCTCGCGCCCGCCACGCCATCTCCGCCTTCAAGTCCCGCATCCAAGCGCGCCTCGAGCATGTCGAGCTCCAGCGTCTCGAGCGCGGGGCAGCCCCGCGCGAAGTGGCGAAGCGCGCTGAGCGTCGCCGCAGCGTGTGTGTGCGTGTGGCCGTAGAGCGTCTCGATCGGCTGCGCGCCCCAGTGGACGTCGTCGCGGTTGATGTAGACGAGGCGGAGGCGGCGGAGGAGCGGCCACGCGTGCGCGAGCCCGCGGAAGTCGCCGTCCGTCGCGGTCACCTCCGTGCAGGACGTGATCGTGATGGAGACCTCCGCGAGCTGGGAGAGCGTGCGGAGCGGGCGGAGGAGGTGCGAGAGCGAGAGCGGGAAGCGGTACTGCCAGAAGCGGCCGGAGTCGAGGACGAGGGAGAGCGTGCGGAGCGAGCGCGCGAGCGGCAGGGAGGCGACGGTGTGCAGCACGCGGGTGTCGGTCATCTGGGGCACGTCGAGGTGCAGGTGTGTGAGGCGAGGCGCGAGCACGGACTGGAGGATCGCGTCGATGCCCGCCTTCGGTCCTCCGAGCTTGAGCACCGTGAGCCGTGTGGTCTGGACGGGCGGGCTGAGTGGGAGCGGCGCGGGTTCGGTGTAGGGGGAGTCCACGTATTCACATTCGACGGTCTCAATCGTAGAACGCCTTGTCGCAATCTGGACGAGGATGACGGGGGTAGGTGCGTAGGATGTTGTTAGGTGACGGAGGTGCGAGAATCCCGAAACGGCCTGCCATGTTTTCGCGAGGCGGTCGGGGAAGTACCCGGGCATCATGGTTAGCGCGAAGCGGGATATTTGAGGGCAATGTTTGATGAATGCCGCGATAAGGGGAGGAGTCCTATGCTTGTCCTCTTCCGTAATGGAGGTCAAAGAGAGCTCCTCGAGCGAGGACGAGAACGCAAAGGGCAGCTCAGTCTCCCGAGCATGCCACCGGAGACGATAATGGAGTTTCTTGAGGCGGGGAAAGATGGGTGCGCCTGCAAGCAGGGCGAGGTCGAGAAGAAGCACGAACTCGCTAGGCTCAAGAGTAGTCTTGAAGACGAGGGACTCTACTCGTGCTGCGCAGATGCGCAGTCTCTCCAGTTTAGCCTCGTTTGAGTAGGCGGAAGTCGAGATGATCTATGGTGCGTGATGAGTTGAAATTCGGAGATGCATGTGTAGAGAGATCAACGGCACCTTCTCCGCGTGGTCCTGTCGCGGTTCCGAGTCGCGTGAGAGCATTCGAGGACGCTCGCGCAAAACTGCATGAAACGGCTGGTAGAAGGGAAGGATGATGTTCTCAAGCGGGAGGAGGCTGTCGAGAGTGTGCCAGAGCCGTCGCAAGGCAGGTTCGGAGAAAGAGCGACACGTGAGAGACGCGTGCATACAGGTCAGACGGTCGGACGTGTCGCTGGGGTCGAAGTTCGCGAGGATCATTTCTACAATTTCCCCTATTTGAAGGGCAAGATGCGGCTGGCGGCCAGGGTCATCCATGGCACCGTACCAGGAGGGTGGCCGGAGTACGGCGTTGGGAAGAGGGAGAGGACGAGCCGCCATCATGCTGCCCCCCCGCGGTGGGACGACTTGGAAAGAAACATCGTGGCAGGCACCCCAACACCGCCTATCAGACGCACGCCTGTCGCCGGCCCATGCCGACCTCATTTCTCACATGCACCTTCAAGCTTCAAGCTTCATGATGAGTCCGATCTCCTTCCTTTGGCACAAGCTCACCAATCGCTCCTGCTTGTCCAAGTTCAAGCCGCTCATTAAGTTGCCCAACAGGGCTTAATTTTGCTTAGGAGCCTTCGGTTAATAAATTCAGCGTCTTGTAGCGTGCTTATCCAAAGCGCCAGGGTCTGGCGACCGCGAAAACTCGAGGTGAAGAACCCCGCCACGCCGATTCGTGGCGTTCGAGGGAAAGATCCCCCCGGAATTTAGGCTCAAGAGCGACATTGCTAAGGCGTTGCGGTCTATAGAGTCGGCGGGCAAAGCGGTCCATAGATGATTGTGGGCGCAGCTCTAGGACGAATCGGAGAGAGAGAGGGTCGGAGGTTAGTGAGAGTTGTGGGTCCAGGACTTCTTCGATGAATGCAGTATAATAAGTCATAACGCCACACGTGTGGAAGAGGAATTCGGAGCGATGATGATGAACAACGTATTGCGGAGACGTGGTTGATCGGTGATCGGTGTAGTTTTTGCTTTCCTGGCACTTCTAATGGCGCTCCACTTCATTCAAATCTCCTGTAGCGCCTTTGTTTGGCGTGTATTCCCACTTTTCCTTCGCCGATCGCGAAGCCCCGCGTGTGATCGGCGCTTTGCTTGCATACTGCAGAAAAGGAGATGATCATACGTTTCCGTCATCGTGAATATTTGAATTCTCTCTGCGCACACTGACGTCATGTCGTGGTGCATTTCTGTCCCGGATCTAGACTCTGCAGAGTATAGTGCACGAGTTCTCAGAGGTCTTAGTCCTGCAACGCCTGGGATTCTCTCGCACTCATGGCCCTCACGCGCGCTGGCTCGCGTTCGGCGCGTGGCCCAGACGCGCGCGCGGGTGCGGCGGCGGCGTTCCGGAGGACCCGCAGTTCACGTCTGCAGAGGAGACGTGGCGTGCGGATCCACCGCGAGGTGCGCGAGCGCGAGCTCGAGCGTACACGAGCGGGCCTGGCGCAGATTCCACCTTACCTTTCGACACGTTCACCGTGTTGCGCCCCCGACGTGTGTGCATGCAGCTCGTCTGTTTACACTCGTTTATTGGAGTATGATGGAAAGGGTGCCGCGCGAAGCGCGGCGACGCTTGTCAGAGTTGAATGAAATATTGCGAGAGTATAATGCACATTGACCGCTTCAATTTCGTAGGTGCTTGCCCTTGACGGGCTGTCATTTGGTCTTCCATCAAAGAACCTCCGGACCTCCATCCCTCACCCACTTCCACTCCTCAAGGCCTTGATCTCCCACCTGACCGCCTCCCACTCCAGCGTTGAGCGCGTCGGGAACCGTCTCCGGAGAGTTTCCACCAAAGCGGACACCAAGCGGACACGCAAGTTGGTACACACATGTTCAGATGTTTTTTTTTTTGGTAGAACACGTTGGTCTTACGAAGGCATTGGTCCCGTTTTCGGGCTTGTTGTACCTCCTGTTGCAAGCGTGTGAGCTGTCGTTCCCGTGGAGTTGAAACCATGGGTCGGACAGTGGTATATCATAGTCATAATCATATTTGTGTACCGCGAGGAAATGCCTTTACGCACTGTGTGTGGGACTCAAGACATGTTCAGATTGACAATATACTACAACAGTCCATCCTCTTGAAGACGCTGTCACACCCGCACCACGATCGGGCACCTTGCCCAATGCTCGACCCGAGGGAAAACCTTCCGCAGCTCCGCCGCAACTGCGTCTCCGATGTCCGGCACCGGCGGCACCACCACGCCCGCGATCTCCAATGTCGTCAACCGCGCGTACCCGCCCGCCGGCGCGCCGCCCGCAAGCGCCTCGAGCGGCACCCACGGAAAGTCCACCTCCGGCAGACGCAGCGCGCGCAGGTGTGCGCACGCGCCCACGAACGCGGGGAGCGCGTCCAGGCGCGCGCGCTTGTCGGGCGTCGTCGCGCACGCGAGGCGGAACGCGCGGAGGGCCGGCCACGCGGCGGCGAGCACGGCGAGGTCGTCGTTCGTGTACGCGACGCGGAACCGGGGCAGGTCGAGCGCGACGGACTGCAGCGCGCGGAGGGGCAGGAGCGGGGCGACGATGCCGGAGAGGGACGGGCCTGCGATGGACGGGATCCGTCCGAGGAGGTGGGGCGCGGGCGCGTGGATGTGGAGGGTGGTGAGGTGGGGGAAGTGCGCGCCGATAGAGGCGGTGAGGGGGGTCGAGAGCGCGTCGTAGACTTCGTATTTGACCTCAACGTGGAGGGATTTGAGGGCAGGGAAAACGGTGTTTGCGATAACGTTGCGAATTGTAGTCTGAGTGCCGTGGATGGTGACGGTATGGATGCGGTCAAAAGTTTGCTGCGGCCGCTGGAGGGAGTCGAAGCAGAAGAGCTTCAGCTCTTGCAGCGCCGGCGCGTATTGCAACGGTTCAAGCTTGTCGGTGGTAAGGTTGTGTTCTTCGATACTGAGAAGACGTAGCAAGGCATTTTCCCCACTGAGGAGAATAGCCTCGATTCCGGAACTGTGAGCCTCTCTATGTTCCTACAACGTTCTAGGAAAATCGATAATACAGCGTGGGCGGACTGAGATATTGGCCTGGAGCGGCGGAGAATGTGAACCTGCTTCACGGTAGGCGGTATGAGGACAACTGGCTGTTCTCGACGTAGTGCAGCTCTGATATCGGTACCTTGCCGACGCATCCGACCGAGATAGAGACGGCTCGTAAGGAGACGAGTAGATGGTCAGCTGGGCAAGCTTGGTAATGGGCCCAGATCGTTGATGGAGGAGGGTCCAAGTTGAGGTCGATCCGGTGAACAGATTTACATACTCTTGCAAGCGTGCCCTGCGGTGATCATTTGTGAGGCGTTTGCGTCTTGGGACAGAATCTGCGCAGAATCAAGTCAGGCCTCGCTGGACTACTTTGGACTGCGCCGAATCGTGATGAACTATGCGCATACAAGCACACGACATGGTCATGTCGCCAGGTCTGCGCCATTCCAGGGGATGGCGACTGAGATCTGGTCGAACCCTTGCCCATATGTGCAAGAACCCAAAGTGCGCAGTTACTCACAAACTCATCATCTATCAAGGCGCATCTTCCCCATTCACGACACTCCGCAGATTGATGAGCCCAGGGTTTGAAGAAGTTGGACTAGCGGTCTTTCGTTGGGTAACGATCTCCACAGCGTTGCCAGCGCAGGTCGCGCGGCACTGCGGCAGACGAGCGCGGACGCCAGTAAGCTTCGGCGAGCGATATGTTCTGCATTTGGATGATGTATGGGTCGAGGTAGGAGAAGACAATGTAGAGGAGGTCTTCGAAGCCGAAGAGGGGATGTTCAAGAGGCATCTTAGAGGTGACAGCTGGGGGCTGCGGACACCCACTGAGCGACTTTTATGTGCTACGCACTGCGCAGTCTCTCCACCCCTTGCAGAAACCAGGACCCTCACAGCCAGTCGGTTGCCACACTGAGGCCTTCAGGAAAGAACAGCCGTAGTGGCGAATGCGGGACAAGACAGTGTAGAGCTTGGGGGAGATGGTGGAGGAAGACGGAAAGGTGTTCTGAACAAAACTCACTGCGAGGTGGGGGACATAATGCATAAACCGTCAGCAACCCTTAGAAATGTAGGCTACAATAGTATTGTGAAAGGCACGTTCAAATGTGTCTCGTCAATTGACTTGATGTACTTCGCTACACAGGACATGTAGGACTTCACGCCACACATGCGAGTTCGATCTCGCAACGGACATGTCATTTCACACAGCGGACAACACTGGTCCTTGGTCTGTTCAATTCCACACCACTAGTATCACGCACATATGTCCACCACAACGGGCAATATCGTACAGCCTGTAGGGAGATCGTTTGAATGGTAGCGCGACGCTATTGCATGACTGAACTCACAGAAAACGCCTATATCCTTCAGTCATCATCTTCGTCGTCGTCGTCGGCCTTCTTGTCCTCTTGTCGTCCTCATCTTCGTCATCCGAGACGATGCGCTTCTTCGTCTTCTTCACGGGCTTTGACGGAGGTGCAGGGGGCTGCCGCTTCGAAGAGCTCGAGCTAGACGCCTTCGGCGCGCTCTTGCTTGTGCTCTTGCTCTTGCTCTTACTCGAGCTGCTGCTGCTCTTCTTCTTCTTTTTGGGCTCATCGTCTTCGTCGTCGTCGTCATCATCGTCGCCACCCGCGAAGCCTTTGACCTTGGTGTAGTCGACGCGGATCCCACGCGTACGCCGACCGGTGGTAATGATGTTGTCCTTGCTCAACGCGTCGAGCTCATCTGAACGACGCCACCGAGGCGCATATATGAGCCCAGCTCGAGCGCGAATATATACACCGACGTACCGTTGTCAATGCCCTCGTCGGCAGAGGCTTCGCTTGCTTCAAAGTCCTCTTCGTCCGAGTCGCGCTTGGCCCTTGAGGATGAACGACCGGCGCGCGTTGGTGACTCGCACTCGACGCCGGATACGCGGAGGGGGAGAGGTAAATGCGACTTTACTTTTTTCTCTTCTTGTCCGGCTGTTCTGCGCGATTCCGCTTCGTTCTGCTTGACATGGTGGGGAGAGGCACTTAAAGAGGAGGTGGCGGAAGTGTGTAGAGGGTGGCAAGCAGCACTGAGGTGCGCAGAGTCGTGGACGCGGTCTGCGACCGATCGCAGTCTCGCACCCGCGCGGTTCAAGTTGCTCGGGCCCCCGGGGTCGCGTTATGTGGGGTCCTCGACAAGGCCTTTGAGCGCCTATGCGTTGTGCGCATGTTCAACGTTCAAACCCGGGTGGCGGTTATTTTCAACCGTGACCACCATACTGACAGCCTCCTCCCTCTTTTGCGCCTAACTGTGACGCGCAAAAATGTCCCAACTGTGAGTTATTTTTATATACATATATATACTTCCTTGCACTAACCGTCTTGCTAGTATCACCACGCATCCTTCTGGTGTCGAAACTGGGTGTATATACGCTGCACTCAGCGACACTCCCCAGATCGGATATTTCCACTGGGCGTTCTACGTCTCAACCGTGCGTTCCACACGCCATCTCTTGAACAGGCAATCTGGATGGCTGACTCAAATACAGGGGGGTGGCGAGGGAATGAAGTTTCACGCCACAAACGACATGAACTCCGCGTCGTGGCGTTACGAGGCTCGGCCGTGGACAGCGACAGACTACTCCACTTGTGTCACCCTCACACCCATCGGGCGATTTCAGAGGACCTCTTCCTCCCCTCGCGTAGAGGAGAAGGACATAAACCGCTTCAACGCAATCCTACAAAGTGTCCCGCTCAATACTGTTGCCGGCGTCGACGTGCCCTACCTTGGCGGGAGGTTCACATGTCGGACCTGGTTCCGCGCGGCGATCCGTACCCTTGCAAGAGAGAGGGTGGAAGAAGGGGCTGAGATTGCATACGTGAAGCTCAGAGAGGGTGCGGACGTGAGGATGGTGGACGAGGCGATGGTGAATCCTGCGACTGGAGTGAGTCTCATGCGAAGTTCGAGGGGGCGGACGGGAGACGGACCGGTTATCACAGCTGCCTCAAAGTACACATGCTTATAAAGTCTGTGCTCCGATTTACCAGCTCCGCCGTCTCGATCCTTTTCAGCGGCGAGTATAAAACATCAATGACACGGAAACCTCCAATGAAAGTCACTCCGTCGCCGGAATACCCTCCTGGGGTCTCGTGGATCATGGCCAACGAATGTCCAGTGTCTGCCTCGGTTAATATCACGTGCCAGTCAGCTCATGAACGACATCGGCGGTGGAGACGCTATCTCGATAGACAACGTAACTACCGTGAGCGCGAGGACGTCCCGTCGGTCTACTCGGCAGTACTTCTGAATGGCGGCACTGTTCTCGTCCGCATTGACAACTCCTCGCTACGCCTTTACCCGCTCTCATACCGCAAACCGCACGACTCGGTCACGGGCATCCAATCATCTCCAGTTCAATTCATGAAACCTGCCATTTCGAGCAGTCCAATTGCGATGCGTCGCGTGTCGTGATGTCGTACATGGTCACGAGGGTGAGAGAGGCGTCGACCAACTGTCCAGAGGAAGAAGGCCCCACGCCTCTAGCCATTTCGAGAAGAGGTTTGCGATCTTGGCGTGGCCCGCGACGTTCGGGTGGGTGTTGCTGCGGAGTGAGGCAAAGCTGTCAGCGTCGGCGGACGTAGGATTTTGGGGTGCGCTCACTCTGGGAAGACGTCGTCCCAGGTCACCCAGCCGGTGGTATCGACGAGGTACGTGCGAATGTCTCCGCTTTGGACTCTGAGAATGGCTAGCTGTCAGACGGAAGCGAGGGTCGCAGGCTGGGAAGACGCACCTCGTGTTGACTATACGCTGGTATTGGCCCTCGTAGTAGTAGCTGACGGTACCATCGGCGGCAGGCCAGCCCCACTAAGGAACGGCGAATGATTTAGAGGATACGGGCCATGCAGACAACAAGGTTCGCATACCGGAGTGAAGATGAAGATAGGCTGGAAAAGGTAGAGCTTGCGCAAGCGCTGAAGGAAGGAGAGATACGTCTAGACAAAACGTGAGATCAGAGGCATTCAACACAGGCCTCCAAATCAGAGTCACCTCTACGAAGTCATCGGCAGTGACATTCTGCGATGCGTCATTCGCGCTGTGAGGGGGTTGTTAGCTGGAGGGGCGGCCTGAGACGTTCAAAAGAGACATACCCGATATGGATCACAATATGAGTAGGCTCCGGCTGGTCGCGAGCAAAGTTCCATGGAGTCGTATAGTTATGGTCGGGCGTATAGTAGTATCCTGTGTCCTCAGTCTGATAACCCGAAGATGTGCACGTCATGTCATGGTTGCGGCCCAAACTAAGTATGTCACCACTCACCTTGAAATATTGGTATGAGACGCCATGTTGGTTGCCGTAAGAAACAATATCCTAAACAGGGAATCAGCTTCGCACGGATGAGGGCTGAGAACCACAATTACACCCACCTTAAGAGCGGCGCCAGGTTGTGCGTTCACGTTGTGCTCAGCTTTGAAGTTTTCGCCGGTTAGGAACGTCCAAGCCTGGTCGACGCCTTCAGGAAGGAACTGGCCCTGTGAGCCGGAACCGACACCTTGCGTTAGCGATTGCGGCGCTGGGCTAGAACTTCAGACCACATAAGCGCACTCACAGCGGACAAGGAGTCGCCAATAAACTGGAAGGCGAGCTTCGAAGGGGTGTATTTCAGAAGTTTCGCGCCCTGAACGACGTAGTCAGCAACGATCTACGAGGCGACGCGCGCATGGAGACGCACGGGGTTTAGGATGATCTCCTCCAGGTTCATGCGGTTATTCTGCCATCCCTCGACATTGATACGGACAACGCTCGGCTTCGACGGCAACATCGTGTTTTCCATGACGGACTTGTTGCTGAGCGGAATAACGTTTGTGCCCTCCGAGGCGTTGACCTGGAAGAACGGCTCGTAGTTGACCGACACCCCGAGGCTCACGAGAGGCGCCGTCGTGTGCTCCCCGAGCTTAAGCTTGAGCTCCTTGAGGTCCTGGACGCGAATCTTGAAGCCCGAACCCGCCCTGCATCGAGGCACGCGGAGAAGTCAACGATAGGCTTGGCACAGCGAAGGCAAATGCTCACCACCACGTTCCCGGGGACTTGTCCCATCGCCCGTTATGATGGATCAGAGGGTGCGTATTTTTGATGACGACATCCGCGTTCCCCGTCACGGTGGGTGCAGCAGTGGTGGTCCCGAACATGAACAACGCCGCTGCGAGCGCGACAGCGAGGACGCGCATTTTGCTCTACTTTCGAGGGTCGTCGGTGGGCGTGCACGCGAACTGCGGGCACGGGCAGCACTTGATCTTATATCTCCTCGCCGTCGCCCTCTCCCTGCCGTCGTGATGCTTTCCAGAGGCATGCGACAGCCTCTGCAGGTCATGCTGAGGTTGACGATGTTCTGACCAGGGCGTTCCCGAAATTCCGCCGGCCACGTTCCGCCGCCCGGTGACCTCGCCCGCGCGGGACTCCGCCACGCGACAACGCAAGGCGCGACAGTGGGCCGTAGTGGGCTGTGCTCGTGCGCGAAAGAGCACTACGCGGCGAAATATTCCATCCCAAACCATCACCTCGACATCACCTGGTCGTCGGTCGTCGACCATGCACCGAGCTAGGTACGCGGCGTGGCCCGGCACGCGGGCCGCTCTGTTGACGGTCCGCGCGGAACGCACACGCAGTACTTATTTGTAAGACAGGACGTCATCGGAATGCACCTCCAACGCCCCGCGTGACGGAAGTGCCCTCCGACGGGTCCGACCCTGTGCAGCCCACCGCGAGCTGTGCTTACCTCCGTGCCGCTCGGCATCGCAGCGTGCCTCTCGAAGGCCACCTTGGCGCCGCACCCCAGACTTGAGCTTGAATGTGCGTCTGGAGGGGGCGCATGACGACGCGCGCTATGTTCGCGTCATGTTTAAGCTCTGCGAACGCACAGCGCCCACAGGGAAGCCACGCGATTATCGTCCTCACAGCCGCCGACGCTGAAGGCCCCGAGCGGGCGCCCCACGCTCGGAGGCTCAAGTCGCTCAGGAGAGAGAACGCGACGGCCGATCGGTCGGTGAATTTGACAATGTCGGTCGATTGACGCCTCCGCGGCAGACGCGGCGAGAAGGGACCCTGTGCCGCGTGTGTCGAGGGGTCGAAATCAGTCGCGGATCGATGGATAGAAGCTCGACAAGACGCACGTCACACAGCCAGAGCGCGGATTTAGGCTTTGCATCCTTGTTGCATGTCGCCTGCACCAGAAGACGGGCACGCCGCTTCTGTGGTGGATGGGGTCTCTACAGAATGGCAGACTGGTTGCAGGTGTCAGTATCGCGAAGCGCAGGAGAAGGATGTAGGGGTTTAAGTGACATACCATGGCAGATCGGCGTGTACAACGTTAGGAGGCGTCTGGCCCTGCCGCCGTAGTTGGGAGATGTGAAGGCGGGCGGTCCGATGGAACGCTTCACTTTCAAGGCGCTACATAGTACAATACACGCAACGTCAACGAGGTGGTCGGCGAGACCAATGAGAGCAAGGAGGGCAAATGAAGCACATACATATGCAAACGTTACCGTGATAGTGATACAACTACAACATAAACAATCCAGTACGCCCTATCTTCTCCCAGACGAGCGACTTGCTATGACTCGCCGTCAGGCTTCGCCTTTTTCGCGGACTGGATCACAGGCACGCCTTGACCGCGCGTGCCCATATTCGGACCACCGTCGGGCTCGATCGCGCGCTTGCGCTTTTCACCCGCTTGCTCGCCGTCCTCCTTGTTCCCCGAGTCGCGGTCGCCGCCACTACGGCCACCACGGCCACCACGGCCACCGCGCCCTCCACGGCCGCCACGACCGCCACGACCGCCACGACCACGACCGCCGCGACCGCCGCGCGAGTCCCGGTTGGAGGAGAAGGAAAGGGCACGCTTTGCTGCCGAGGCGGCTCGCTCAAGCTGGAACGCCCGCTCTTGCTCCTCTACATGTGGCGGGGGGTGGGGCGTGAGGGGGGAGTGAGCGACAGTTCAGGGTTTGTAGAGTGGATTTGGCGAGGACTGACCGTCTGGGATTGACCAAGATACCTCGGTCCCACTGAGAGTCTTGAGGTTTTCCCGGACGTACGTGATGTCGTCCTCTGACAGCGCTTTGTCGAACCCCACAAGGCCCGAGCTGTCACCCTTGGTGTACTTTACGAAAGGTGCGCGCGCAAAATGCTCCTTGAGCGTTCCCTGCACCAACAAACACGTCAATACAATCCCCGGGTGAAGAGCAGAGGATAGAATGTAGCACGCACCTTGATCTCATCAAACGCAACATCCCCGCCCGCACCCTCGAATTTCAAAGACGCGCCTTTGACATGCGGCACATCTTCAGGCTTGACAGAGCCTCCGTCTTCTTCGTGCACGAGCATGCGACTGCCGAGGAATTCGAGATAGACCTCCTGCTTGCCTTTTTCTTCGCCATCCTTCCCCTGGCCCTTCTTGCCCTTCTCCTTCTCTGCCATCTCCTTGAACGCGTTGAACCCTTTGCGGCCCGTGCCTGACATGTTCTGTCGCCGCAGCTCGGCGGCCTTGCCCGTGAGACCCTTCTCCTTGATCTTCATCTCGCAGTACGCTTGTCTGTGAGGACGAACGATGAGCCGCGGGTTTCTCAGCGCCAGCGCGGCAACAGAGCGAGGCGGAGAAACGTCGCAGCGTGAGCGCGGATGTGCGTACGTACTTTGACATGATGAGAAGCTCTTCCCCCTCCCATGAGGGCTTCGGGTCGGCGTTTAGGAACGCCTCCACAGACTTGAAGTCCGCAAACTCGGCGAACACGGAGCCCTGTCGCCGAAAACCCGCACCAAACGGTTGGCGGACGGCTCGCATGATAGGGGGGAGAGGACACGAACCTTGAACTCCTTCGTGTTGTCAATTCGCCGCATGCGCACCGCGTTCGTCCGCCCGTACTTGTTGAAAAAGTCCTCGAGCTTCTTCTGCAGCGTCGGGTCCTCCTTGCCAAAGCCTTTCTGCCGTCCCAAAACGATCCCCCTTAAACTTCCCCTGATGCACGTGGGGTGGAGAAGGACGAGCAACGTACCGCGTACACACTGCGTTCGAACTGGTCCTTCGGTGGCTGCACTTCGGTGCGGCGGCGGATATTTTCGCTTTTTTCGTCGATTTCCAGCTCCTCGCTCTTGCGAAGCGCATCGAGTAGCCACTCATCACCCAGAGAATGGAACTCGCGCATACGCTTGAAGGATGCGACGGTCTTGACGGGTACCCAGTGCTCGGCATTAGCTGTGTGGAGCGTCCACATGAACCTGGGGAGTCCATGTCGGAAAGGAGCGTGCGTGCACCAAAAAGAAGACCTACTTATCAAAGGGCAGGTTCGAGTCGGCGAAGTAAAACTCGACTATATGCGGAGAAGGTGTGGTATTAGGGAACAAGTGTTGTTCACTTGGCCGGGCACGTACTTTGGCGAGCAGCTCGCAGCTTTTTGTCTTCCTCACTCTCATCTATGGTGGCGTCCTCTTCCACCTTTTTTTCAACGGTAGGCTCAGTGTCTTCCGACATGGTTGTGGAGGGGGAAAGGTGTGTGGAAGGAAGAAAAATCAAGAAGAGCAGATTATAGGCGCCCGTTTCCGTATCGTGAGTCGCAGTGAGTAGACAGGCGTCTGGATCTAATCTTATCTAATCGTGCGACTCATAATTTCTTTCGGAGATTGAGACGGGCTTCAGCAAGTCAGAGCAAGTCCCGGAGCGCGAGTCTCTTCCCGCCTTCCTACGTGGCTTTACCATCTCCGAGCCTGCTAATTTGTTCCCTCCACTCCGTTCACTTCTCTCGATAATGATACAGGTGGACCAGGTACGGAGTAAGTAAACGGAAAATGACATTGTCTATCTCCAGGTGAATATATGCGCAGCGGCACGTTTCCTCCCACCGATCAGGTACTATCGTGCTACACAGCAACACAAACGCCATGGATAGAAGAAAAGAAGCCTAGGGGCAGGGCAAGCGCAGAACAAGGACGCGCGCAAGTTCCGATGAGCGTTCACGCGGGCCTCTATTCGCAGAACGTCTGCCTCGTACGTAGTTCTAGCCATCCCGGTGTGGCCGCACACAGTCTATCAAACGCTGCTCCTGCAAAAGCACTCGAGATTGGCTGGTGAGCGTGTCAGCCACTTCTATCCACTGCATCCGAGCTCGACCTCGACGATCTAGGCCCAACCTTGTCCCGAACACGACGCACAAAGTCCCGCGCGCTCGCCGGACCACATGCCCCCGCTCGCTCCGATTCAACGGGTAATCTCAGCTCCAACTCAACATCGCATGCATCTCCGTCGCGGACAACTCCCGCTCCCACTCAGTCGCCCAGCACAGTCCCAGACGTCTGCGCGCGTGCGGGGCTAGAACAGAACGGTCTTTGGCCGTTTGGCGTCGGTCCGGACAGAGGCGCGCGGGCGGGTGCACACAAAGTGGCATAAGGGCGCAAACCCTTGCGGTGGAGCGCAGCCACGCGCGAATCGTCCTTGAATGCGGTGTCAAGGTGCCACAGTGAGCGCGGCATCCCATATGGACGTGCCCACAGATTGGTCGCGGCCGCGGTCGGTAATACGTCCCTTGGCCGCGGTCGTTCGATATTCCCGCGAGCCGACCTTCTTGCTCAGTGCGAACAGTCTATAGACAGTCTTTTCCGAGAGTTCGGTGCGTTCTTTGATTCAATACGATGTAAAACCTGACGGTGACGAGGTTGTTATGGGTTTGCAGGATATGGTGAAGGTTCAAGAACGGCATTCACGATGGATGGGATGTGTACTGAACGAATGCGAATTCGACCCCGGGCGCTCATGGAAGCAGACAAACTCGGCCGTGTGCCGAAACGCCCGAAACTGCCAGTTAACGCCTGGCTGTGAGCATGTCCGACCCAGTCCGTGAAGACTGAATGCCCAGGGCGCTGGTTGTTGTACTCTCCCCGCTAGCAGAGGAGGGCGTGCCTTCTGCCGCGAGGCCCGGATGGACCACCAGGCACATTGACGCGGGTGGCCTGGCGGAGGAGCGCCCGTGCCGAGCAGCAAAGCAGGGATA